TATTATGATTATGATGTGCTTGCAAACGTTAGTAAGCAAGCGCACACAAAATCGACGAGGATCCTTTGAATCGTCCAAATTTGCCGAAACGAAACCGCATTTCGAAGAGTTCGGGTTTCAGGTTATTGGGAGGGTCGCAAGAATATAAAATCTCTAGGACACACAACCCGCCGTAATCCCACAGAACGTCAACGAACGGAAATGTCCGATGTTGCAAAGTGGACTGGCTCACACGTTGAGTGAATTATTTAAGAGCACGCATATACGCGAAACTCCATCATTCGCCGGCAAGCCGTTTAAAGCAAGCGGCAGTCTGGTAATGTTATACGACTCTCAGCCAGAGGTGGTCCGGGAACAGTATCCGAGGACCGCAATGTGCGTTCGAAATGTCAATGTTCGTGTATACTGCAGTTCACATGTCGACGCGCAATTAGCTGCGTTCTTCATCGACCCACGAGCCAAGTGATCCATCGTTCAGGGTGATTTTATATATATTTATACATGTTTCGATCGTGATTCCCTCGAAATCGTTTAAGATAACTCGGGCGATTCTGAAACTAGTATGAATATTATGGTTGCAATTAGTACACCGTAAAGCTTTCGCGTTTCGGTCCGAGATACAAAATCTCGTTTCAAAATTGAAATATGAATATTTCACTGTGTGTGAGATTGAAAAATCTGCTTTCGCTGATTTTTCATTTTCTTAAAACAACGCAATGAAGCGAATGTTCAAATTCGCACGATTTGAATAAAATGTGCAGAGTATATAGAATACTAACGCAAGCGTTTACTACAATCGACTTTAAAACACTAGACTTTCATCTAGCGCCCAAAGAATTGATTGAGCTATGCGTTTAAAGTATAATATTCAAAAAGAACGCCGTTTTCACAACGAACTTCGTCATTCGCTCAGGCATCTGGCGATACCGAGCAGATATACATGGCAGTGCTCTCACACAATGCATAAGAGCGCTAAGCGGTTGTAAACTGCGTCACGCTGCTTTTGCACACTGCGCAATATTTTGCGACTAGCTCCGGTCAAACGTTAATGAAACAAATGATCATTGCCAGAGGCTTTGGCCACAGTATATTATACTATAGGAGCGCACTTGATTACAGCAATAATTTGTCGAGTAATCACAAGATTTCATATTTGTGGTCAGCAGACCCAAATAATTTTAACTCGCACCGATCGAACGTTCATAAATGAATGATCCTCGGTGCGAGAAGCTTCGTCAGTTCTGCTGCACCACCCATCTATTTGACTTTAGTCCATTTGTAAAATCCTATATTATTAAAATATATAGATTTTATATTTGCGGTCCGCAGACCCAAATAATTTCAACTCGCTCCGATCAAACGTTCATAAAACGAAAGACCATCGCTGCGAGAAGCTTTGCTAGTTCTGCTACATTCACATATATTTGACCGTAGTCAATTTGTAAAATCTTATATTATTAAAATATATAGATTTTATATTTGCGGTCCGCTGACCCAAATAATTTCAACTCGCTCCGATCAAACGTTCATAAAACGAAAGACCATCGCTGCGAGAAGCTTTGCTAGTTCTGCTACATTCACATATATTTTACGGTAGTCAATTTGTAAAATCTTATATTATTAAAATATATAGATTTCATATTTGCGGTCCGCAGACCCAAATAATTTCAACTCTCCCTGATCGAACGTTTAAAAACGAATGATCATTCCACCAGTTATCTATAGCCGCAAACCAGCATTCGAATATATACGGGGTATATAATTCTAGATATGGCTGGCTCACAACATTATTAAAAGTTACGCTAATATATCATTGACAGACTAAAAGTATCGAATATGATGTAAAAACTACACCGGGGAATAATATCCGTACCCACCTGAACAACATAGCGTACTTTAGCCTGAGCTTGCTCGCATCGCACTCGACACGACCTATCCCCCTATATAAGGCGCGCGGCCACAGCGTAGGTATTCGACTGAGTCCCAAGCGACGTGCATTTGACCTGCGGCGAGGGCCTGCTCGCGCTTACGGTGTGAATCGTCAAGACAAAAGTCTGTGAAAATTTCGAACTGTGAACCCTTATGATATAAAATTTTTTTTCGAAAATTTTGTTAGATGTTCAAACAGTTTTGTATATATGGATAATATGAATTATAGTTAATTATTGAGTTTTTAGGTGTTTTTTTGGTTTTTTTTAAAGTTTTGTATAAAAATATGTATTTATTGATTTTTATAGATCTCAATGAATATAAAACGAATTTATATATAGTTATATTATATTTTATAATTATTTGTTTAAATTTTCTAATTTTACAATAAATGTTCAATCCAGTTTTCCTGGATTTTCTCTTAAACGGTAAAAGATACGAAAAAACTTTGTTCGTACGAACGATGCAGAATAAAATTACGAATAAAATGGTATATAAATGGTTAGGTGTGTTCATATAATTTTCTCTAGATTTTCCGATTTTCCCGAATTTTCACGACGGCAACTCGCCTGTAGGCCACACCGTTGGGAATTTGAAGTTGTGATATATGGAAAAAGAACTAAGAATTTTGAGACCTTTCTAATGATGTATAATACTTTATATGTTTTCTTTAGAGAAATATCGAATCGTGAGGAGTGTTGCTTCAACCTAGCCGCACTTTGCATTTTGACAAGTTAACAACTACACAGATTGCTTTATACTATCTAAACCGTAAAAGATACGAAGAAACTTTGTTCGTACGAAAGATGCAGAATAAAATTACGAATAAAATGATGTATAACTCGATATATGTCATAATATATTTTTCATGAGATTTTTCAATTTTTCCTTTAAATTAAAAAATGTTTTAAATTTTTCGCTGACTCTAAATTCATTTGCGGGTTATGCTTTTTTTTACAATATTGTTTCAAATGATGTAAAAAGTTAAATTAGCGAGGTGCCTCAATATGCAAAAAATTGGTTCACCCTAATATATATATATATATATATATATATATATATATATATATATATAGGTATTAACAAAGTCTAATAATCGGGCATAACATCAATAAAAAACACACGTTGTTTTTTATTGATGTTATGCCCGATTATTAGACATTGTTAATACATATGTCAACATCAAATTCAGAATTATATAATATATAGGTATATATATATGAATATATATATATATATATATATATATATATACATATATATATATATATATATATATATATGTGTGTGTGTGTGTAGCGAAATGAACATGTTTCATAACAGCTGTCAGTTGATTGACGCCTATGTGATCACATAACTATACAGCACACTTTGAGCGACGTCGATGTGAACGTCGTATCTAGCAACCTGTAGCTAGTTTATGTTTCACAATCGTATAAATTGTTCTCTCTGATTTTTGTTTCCGCGATTATTGTCGGGCAAATTTAGTAAATCATTTGATATCAAAATTGTATATCACATTAGTTTTTTTGTAAAGTCTCGAGTTATCAATAAACTCGCATTATCATCGCGTTAATATCGTGACACTTACTGTTTCATTTCAAAGTATATTTATTTAATATAAAACAGCTAATAACATTAAACAGCTATCCAGTTTACTGCAATACTCAAGATAATTTTGTGGAGCCCTACCATCCGCAAAGTATTCGCAGAACTGCTTTTGACATAATTCATCAAAGTCAACCAAGCACATCACAAGAATTTAAACCACATCACTTGGAGTCAGCGATAGATCCTCCAAGAAAGATTAATACTAAAAAAGTCTTCTTCAAATTATAACAATTAAATTTATTTATTTCTTTTACGATTATAAAAAATCAAAAACTGTTCGAAAGATATTAGTTGGGAATAATACTGATTAGTTTTAGGTGAAAATCTATCGAGCCGTTTTCTTGTAATTTGAAAAACAAATTTAAGCCGATTTTTATTAATCTTTTTTTGGCGATATATATCATGGTAATATAGAACTTACTGAAATATTACGGCATTGAATGGCTTAGACAAGTCGTTTAATTTTAAAAATTCATCTAAGTTTGAGAAAATGAGTAGTTTTTTTGACGTTTGTTAAAATTAAAATTAGACGATTTACTTGGTATAACGATAGAGTACTTAATGAACATAAACAAAACCATTAAAGTCTTACGAAAACCGGTTCAATTATAAGCCTCATGGCTAAATACCAATACCAACTACTTTATTTTGGAATCAATTTTCTTTTAATTTTAATCTGATCTATTATTTGACATGATTTTAGTTAAGATTTTTTTGAGTTTATATAAATACTTAAACGTTGCTTTGAAGAACAATTTGTTAACTTCCCGTAGGGTAAGTTATTGTAATGGGCCGAAAATCGAAATTGAATTTTTTTACATTTCTCGACGTTTTGAAGGTTTCTAAACATTTTGGCATACCTCAGAAAAAATGGATATGTGTGTGTGTATGTATGTATGGATACAAATTTCCAGTCACGTTTTCGGGCGAACGGATCAACCAATTTGAATGGTTCAAAAAACATTCGATTCCTATTGATAGGGAGAAGAGCTGATTAGTTTTTGGCAAAGGCAGGTCCACCCGTTTCGGAGATATCGAGCAAAGAGTGCAGAAAATAGAAATCGAGTTTTTGAGACAACGGAGCATCCGGTTTGAATGATATAAAAACATTCAATTAGTAATGATTGGGAGAAGTGATTATTAGGTTTTGGAAAAGACAGGCCTAACCATTTCGGAGATACAGAGCTAAATGTGCAGAAAATGGCAGTTTTTGAGAGAACTAAGCGTCCGATTTGAATAATTAAAAAAACTTTCTGCTTGTTTTAAGAAAATAATTGATTTTGGAAAAAAAATTGTTTAAAAATTATTTTTTTTCAATTTTTTTTTGTATATCGAAAGTATATAAGATTTTAATCGTAATTCTGACAAAAGTTCTAGTGTACTTTAAACAAATATATAATTATAATTCTTATAAATATTAGGCAATGTTACAATATTTATAATAATCTATTTGAAAACAT